TTTTTGGCCCAGTTTCACCCTTAGCAACAGCCTAATGGCCTCGGCCCAGAGCAGGGTCGTATAGCCTAGACGAACAATGTCCAAGTCAGCCGAGGCAAAATAGCTGAGTCTAGGATAGAGGTCGCTCTCATGACGAGGGTCGAGATGATGATCGAGGCCGAGACGACGTTCGTGGCTGAAGTGACAAGGGACAATGTGACAGTGGCCGAGGCTGAGCCGAAGACAGGGGCTGAAATGTAGAATGGAGCAAGGCGAAAGCAGAGGCTGAGCTGAAGGTGGGACATTCCAAAGACAATTTCGCCGAGTTGTATACAATAATAGTTCGTTCTCAAACCCAATCATCAACGCTCCTTACCCTGGAGAATGGAATTCAACAAATTTACCCAAATATGATGGGAGGCAAGACCTAAAAACTCTCTTGGAGGCTTTTCGACACAGACATGTGTGTGAAGAGGATAGACGAGCCCATTAGCTCGAGGATTTATGCTTCTACCTTGACAGGGGCAGCTATGACCTAGTTCTCCAGACTATTGAAAAACTTTATTGATTCTTTCGATAAATTTGCAAACAAATTTCTCCTCAACTTTGCGACCATAAAGGGGCATCCCATGTTGGAGTTCACATTGCGAGCAGTTTGACATGAAGAAGGCTTGGTACTAGGGGTCAACAATTTGAACTATAAAAAAGAAACATAGAAAACAATTATTCAAACAAACAAGAGGAAAATAAAACCCAATCATAGCCGAGGTTGCATACCAAATTCCCTGTCTAGTTCGACTCCAAATTTATCTACTAGTTCGGCCATGTCGAGAATCCCATGATCCTCAACATACTTCAGTAGGGCCCTAGTCGTGGCCACCTCTTCTTTGGTAAGCTCGGACTCGGATGCACAAAATCATTAGTCTTCATCCAATAATGGCTATAGGTCTAATACAGGGGAAACTTCCCCTCTTCACCCTCCTCGGTGGACAAAAACCAGGGACAGCACCCCGAATGAATTGAAACCTTAGAGAAATGGTCCTTAAACTTTTTAAAAGAATCTTTAACACGTTGAAGAGCCGCCACTTCAAGTGTCCACAAATATTGACCCAGACTTTGTGGTCTTTTGGCTCAGCCCTAGTTTGGGAAGTATAGACTTGGAACAAATAGAAAATCAACTTGATCGTGCAACATAGCACCAAGTCTTGCTCAAAAGCCTGGACGAATGCCTAAGAATTGGGATGTAGATTGGTAAGGGAAACTCTGTGATGAGCCATCACGCCCATTTGGAATCATTGAAGGGAAGCCAGAGTCCAATGTACAATGTGGCCGACCTGCTTTTGCTGTCGCCATTGCGATACGCATGAAGGAACATTTCTTGTTTTTCCTCTTCGTTCTGATCTATCCTGAAAATCCAGTAGTTGGCCCTAGAGGGAAGCCTAGATATGAGGGCGGCTTCATCCTCATCAGCATCACCACCATCATCACAGTCTTGTGTACATAAAGCTCCGCCTCACCTGCTCAAACGTCTCCCGCTCACTCTAAAAAATGCTTGAAGCGTGCAAAAGAAATTTGTGGGAAAGGGGAGGAAGAAAAAACTACCTAAAAACAGGGAAGGATACCTAAAATCTTCCCAATAGAAGCCAATCGAGCTTAAAACTACCCAAATCTTCCAAAAAAACAGTAACGACAAAATGATATATAGTAAAAGGAAATGAAAAAGTGTTTGGAAGAAATACTTATTTGCTTTTGGAGAGTGAAACGTTAGAAATCCAACAGACACTAAAATCCTTCTCACCAAAAAAAGCAATGCCCAAGGTGTGTAGAATAAGCCTAAGGAGCTTCAGAGGAAATGAAAAACCATGTCGAAAGAAAAGATGCACCCTTATAGAACCTATAGGAAATACCCAAATGTAAAATAGTAAATGAGTAAGTGAGGAAAATGGGAGAGAGGTTATGCATTTTGGAGAGAATTCAAAGAGGCAAAGGCAAAATAGACATTTCACATGAACAAAACCCCTGACAATAACTCAAGACATCATGACACACAGAACACGAAGGCGGCGCACGCCCCCCAGCGCACATCCCACCATCCATAGTAGGACTCATGTAAAGGTGTAACCGCCAGATAGGATGTGGAAGGAAAAAGGCCATCATCTGGTATGACCTCAGCAGTCCAACCTAAGAGTACGAACTTGGGTGAAAAGGCCAGAAAAATCATAGAGAACACAAGAAAGTGATTAAGGCCTCGAAACCCAGACAAAGTGGTCTAGAGAAAGACTAGTTGTTCAAAACTGGACCACGACCCTACAGACTAGAGAAGAAGATGCCAACGTAGCCTCCAACAACCCGAAGCAAAAAAACCAAGGACTGATTTAGAACACGAATCACGCAATAATAGAGGGAAACTGCTCAATACGGACCCAAATATGGTCGAGGTGCCTAGTGAACGGTTTGACTCGGCTGCTAGGCCGGATGGGATCATCGCAGAATGAATCTGGACACGACAAAAGAGGTGAGAAGAAGAGCCTAGGACTGGCATCCCGGACACAGCATATACATATAAAAAATACCGCAGCCCGGACATCCAAACTACCGAATTGAGGGCATCTGTTATGGACCCAACTTATGGGCCCATTCTCTAAAGATCCCAATAAGTGCAAATAAGAGAAAAGATCAACATGAGGATATCGATCTAATTATATTCTCAACATATTAAGCACTGAGCCCCCAATATTTAGAAAATGTCCAAAATTTCACTACCTACAGGTAAACTTTTCATAAATAGGAGGTTAAGCCTATATATATGCTCTTTTGAACCCTTTCTCTCTCTTAGCTGTCACTGTTTACACACCTCACGCTCTGGCTATGCCGTATTCATAATGCACAATGATTTGCTTCTCCTTAAGGTATCTCCTCCATAGATACTTGAGAGTACCTAGATCCTATATTGACATACCAATCCATAATTGGACATCTCTGATCCAACAGTATTGAACAAAACCTTTTCAAGTAAGTTTTATGTTAGTTATTTTAAATCATAAAACTATTTCTAAAAACATAATCAAATCAAGCATATGCGCCTAGAAGTTTCACTATTTACAAATATCTAGCTAATTTATAATTATTGAATTTAATTAAAATTATCAGATAGAAAATTTGAAAGTAAAAAATAATTGTACCAAAAACATAAATTTCAAAATAACTAACATTGTGCAATTAAATAAAGAGCTTTATACTTCTTCTGCGGTTAGAGAGAAGACTTGTTTCTTACTTAGATAAATAAAGTGAATCTCATCATTTCTTTTTATAAAAAAAAGAGTGGCTCGTTTTTTCATACGAGCGAAGCAGGAGAAGTTATATTCCCTTAGATAAATACTTAAATGACATGTTAACTATGACTAATAGTATTGGGTTGGAAAAAGAAACCTGCGACAATAAATATTTTTAGAGAGGGATTATAGTTACTACCTCTTACTACCAAATATTAACCATTAATTTATGTTAATCTAACAGTTATAATTTATTGAAAATTAATAATTAATCAATAAATTACAACTGTTAGATTGACATTAATCAATGCTTAAGATTTAGTAGTAAGAGATAGTAAGAAAAAGAGGTAATAATTATAACCTCCCCTATATTTTTATTATATTGTCTTTTTTTTTTTTGTAAATTTTATTATATTGTCTTTACAATGTTAAAAATTAAGTATATATCTTTTTGGGTCCTCAACAAAAAATACAAAACCCATTTTAATCATTTAGAAAAAAATCGATTTGTGATTCTTTTGAAATTTCAATTCTTTAAAATTGTGAACCATTAGAAATTTAAAGAAGACTCATATTAATTCTTGAAGAAGAACTAATGTAAATATTTTTTTCCCTTAAAGAATTAAAATAGATTCCGTATCTTTTCCTTGAGGATTCAAAATGATATTTGGTCTTGCGAATTCTAGTTGTTTCACTGAGTTCCTCATTCTTAGTATTTGATAATTATACAATAAAGTAATTGAAGTTGCATTCAATTTCGGATATATCTGCTAGTAAATGGTAAAGCAAAATTAGTCAATTTATCCATTACAAAAATGCACCATCCCTGCATACACACATAATCATAAATGGAATAGTAAATTAGTCCTTCTGACTTTTTTATTTTATCTGTGTAATTGCACACAACAATTAATGAAACTATTAAATAATTTTAATTATTAAAAAATAACATGACTAAATTATTATTTTTTATTTTGTTAATATTTTCTCTCTCCTCCAGTATCTTCAAGTTATTAAATTTAATGGAGAGAGAGAGAGGAAGGAATAACGGTCAACGAAGAAAAAAATTAATTGATATATTTTTTTAATCTTTTTAACCTTCACTTTTTTTAACCTTCACTTAATAATTAAGGAAAGGTTCATATGGTATCTTTATTTATAATTATACTATAGTTCTTATTTGTGTTAATAAAAAATACTTTTTAGATTTATATTTTAAATAAGTAAAACAATAAAAAAATATTAATCATTAATTATAGAGGGATATTAGTATCCTCATACAGAGAAAAATATTCACACAAAATCTATATCTATCTATTTTAGATTATCTCTATCATTATGATAGTATCCCCTAATTTGGTTATAATTTTTTTAATACCATTATTATTATTATTCATTTGAAAAATTACAAAATGGTTAAATTATAAATGCTTTTCACTTTTTAGTTTATAACTATTTTTAAATACATCTATTTTTTTTAAAACATAAAAGACTTTTTTTGGGTTGTAAAATATTATAATATTTTAGGTGTGGAGGGAAACCCAAAACATTAAAATCCCAACAAATAAAATAATATAAAAATGCCATCAAAATAATAAGAAAATGAAAATAAAAAAAAAAATAAAAGGAAAAAGAAAACTAATAAAAAAGAAGGAAAGACATAAAAAAGGAAAAAGGGCCAAAGAGAAAAAAGAGAGTTAAATAAAAACAGAGTTATAGATACTGCATAGATTGACAACTCAGTTTAGAGTCGACACAACTTTTGGGTGTTGTTGGTGTTATTCCTTCGGAGAAGACGATGATGCTGTGCTAGAGACAAAAAAAAAAAAAAAAAACACAGTTCAAATTAAGGTTCTTGTGCATTTCCCTTGATTTTTGTTCTTGTTGTTGTTGGGATTGCAATGAAGGGTGGAGGGAAGAGGAACACCACATCGGAATCCTCGAACGATGTTGGTGCTGTTGCTTCAGATGTTGCTGTCGTTTTTTGTGCTGATGCTGTCGATGGTAGTGAAAACCATGGAGATGGTGATGACCTCAGCCAAGTTTCTCCTTTTGCTGAAAACGAGGATGCCCAGTTGCAGAAAGAGGAAACGGAGGAACCCCGTGTGGAAGATTCGGAAGAAGAACAAAGAGAAGAAGAAGAAGATGAAGATGAAGAAGAAGGAGAAGAAGGGGAAGAAGAAGGAGAGGAAGATGGGGTTGCTGCAGTGGCTGAAAAGGGACAGGGTCCTGTTTTTGGTGAGATTTACTATGAAGTTGAAGCAATTCGTCGTAAGAGGATCCGCAAGGTAAAGTTTCTTCTTTTCTTCTTCACATATTTTTCTATTGTTTTGTTTTGTTTTATTTTATTTTTATTGTATTCATTTTAATTTTTTAATCTTAAGAGTATAATTTTGTTTTGTTTTTTATTCCCATTTATGACAATGTAAAATTTAAATGTTGCAAATACAGGGTAAGGTGCAGTACTTCATCAAATGGTGAGTGCCCCTTTTTCCTCCTTCGTTTTTTGTTCTTATTGTGTAACTAGATTGTGATAAAGTTGAATGGAAAAGACAAAATGTGAAATCATTTAATATATTTTTGCTTATTTATTACTGAAGGCGTGGATGGCCTGAAGCAGCCAACACTTGGGAGCCTCCAGAAAATCTAGATGGTGTTCCTGATGTTGTTGAAGCTTTTGAGGAGAGGTATTCTCTTTTTATTCCATAAAATCTTTACATTTTTTTTCTTTATGACCCTATATTAAATGATGGGTAAGGATGAAATGATTATTCCAATTATGTTTTGTATTTGTGTTGTGTTTGCTATGATTATAAATAGGCCACTTATAAGCATAGGTAAAAGAGTATAATTTGGTGAAACTGGATGGACTTGATGACTAGATTGTTTAACTTGTCTTTTTGCAAATATTTGTTTCTTTGTGGTTTTTGAAGCTTGAGATCAGGAAAGCATCGTAAGCGCAGACGCAAGCATGTTGTTCATCGCACTCAACTCAAAAAGAGGCTGGAGCGTTCGGCCACTCCTTACAGCCTTAGACGTCTTGCACCTAGTTCAGCTGAAAACCATACACAGTCTGCTCCTCTCATTGATCTTAGTCTCACTGATATTCCTGCCTTTCCTCAGACTGTGATCTTTGCTGATGAAGTAGAAAATAATGGTGATTCCAGCAGTCTTGGAAAAGCCAAACTTGGTAATGATAATGGGTCTGAAAATGCTTCAGAACAAACTGTTGAAAGGAATGAGGAAAATGATTATGATCCTAAGCTTAGTGAACTTAAAGCTACAACAACCAATGGGTATGATGCAGACAAGCTAGCAATACAGTTTCAAGAAGCTAAGATTTCAACAAGCAATGGTCACGTGGATGGTCAATTGAGGGAGGTTTGCGTGGAACCAGTTCAAAGTGGCCGCTGCAGAGGAGCCAAAAGGAGAAAATCTGGTTCTGTGAAGAGATTCAAGAAAGATTCATATGCTGATGAGCCTGTTAATACTCAAAGACCAATTGGCATGTCTGTTGGTATGGCTGTGCCCGCACGAACAAGGAATGTTGATAATGCAAGTAATAATCGTGCTAGATCTGCCTGCAATATTGTCAAGATTATAAAGCCAGTAGGCTATGCAGCTGCAGTAGCTAACACCAAGCAGGATGTTTTAGTGACCTTCATAGCTATGAGGTTAGTTACTCAACAACTGTAAATTTCATTGTTATATATTTGCCTTTGGTCAAAATTTTACAGCTGCATTAATTTTCATAATATGAATGGCAAGTTAAATTGATTTTTACGCATGCTGATTTTTAAGTTCTTTTTCCTCTGTGATTTAGCTTGTCAGTTTAGAAATGGAAGAATGATAGCTCTGGATGAATATTGCCACTAATTAATAATGAGCATTTGGTTCATGGTCTCAATTTTAATGCTCATACCTGCCCTTTATTATTGTATTTTGGAGAGACAAAGTTGATCAAGCTGCTGTTAATAAATGAGACCAGTCATGGATATTTGCAGCATCATTTACTTCTATTTTATATTTTAATTGATAAAAAATGAACTTTTATGATAAATATAGACAAAAGGTCATGGGTTCGAATCCAGGAAATAGCCTCTTTGCAATTATGCAAGGGTAAGGCTGCGTACAAGGATTTCCTCCACCCTACACTCGCTAGTCGGGTTTAACGGGGAGTGATTTGTTTGTTTGTTTTGTTTTGTTGAAAGCTTAAATTTATTTATGTATTTATTTATTTGGCTATAAATTGAAGCTTGAATTTTATTATGCCTGTAGCAGGTGTTATTCCCCAACTAGTTTGGGATAATAGTGTTGTTGTTGTTGTAGTAGTAGCAGGTGTTATTCTTTTCTTTGGTTAATAAAAGGAAATGATGTTGAATTCTTGATAAAAGAAAAGGGGAAAATTAATGTATTTGGGAAATTGAGATGTCCTCAACCCCTCTGTAAGGGCAAGATAATGCAACTGAAACCAATACTTAAGACTACAAAATATAGCTAAATTAAAACACTTATACATTTAGATTTCCTGGTTCTTCAACTAGAGGAGAGCCTTCTCCTGTGTGGCTTAAAATCCTAATAACAAAGGAATACCATATAGATTTGTGTTCTTTTAGTGCACCCGGGAGCTTGTTTTCAACCATCAACACCAAATTGCTGCTAGTACTACTGAAACTGTGAAATTGCAATATTTTGTTTTGGGGTGAAAGAAGAAAATTTTGTTATTGGATACTAGAACCTGTTGGGCTTAGGGGAGCGCCCACCCTACAGTGGGACCTAAGGGTTTGAATGGAGTGTGGGTTTTTTTTTTTGTGTTGTTTGGGAAGAGAGAGGGGGGGCAAAGAAGAATACAGAGAAAATAGTAAGTACGAAAAGAGGACAATAAGGTATTCTCAGCAAAGTCATAAATGTGTTCTTTGGCACTTGTCACTTTATTATTACCTGATTATGTTTAAATGTAATTTTAAGTTGTGTATTTAGTATGAAATTAGCTACTATAGAAGCCATAACTTTGGATGCCTACAATTTTTTATGCTTATTCCCCCCAAATAAATTTTCTCAATATGGCTCCTTTTGCTTTGCCCCTGCTTGGTGTATAGTTATAGTTATTAGGAAAATCTCTTGTGATCCAACAATGTGTTTGCACATTAGTTTTAACTCCATCATAGAAGTTTTACCTAGATGTTTTAAAATTTAAATAAATTATATTTATTGGAAGTACGCTATATCCCACTCCCTAAAGCACTCTTGCATTAGTATTCTATCACCTTACAACTTTAGGAGATTTTTGGTTTTTCAGCTATATATCAATTTTGATTTATCTGATTAAAATTGTTCCCTTTTTGGTTGAAAATGGACTGAATTCCTTTACCTGGTAGATGTGAACTCTTTCAATTTCATGAAAACTTATGGCTTAGCCTTAGATAAATTTGTTATCCATTTACATTTATAAAAAAAATGGGCTTTTATGGAATTGTGTTGAGTTTTTTGGCTTGTTATTAATCTAGTATAATTGTTTAATCTTATACTATTAGTTTGCTATATATGTGGGTTATATAGGTTTACTAATGTTGAATGGGTACTTGCTGCTCTGAGGGTGACCTGTTTTTCAGAACTAGTCTTACATTTTTTCTTAGTATATATTGTTAGCGTCTCGATTTAGAGAGACTGAGAAAGAAAGTCAGAAAGTAAATGTGTGGATTAGGAATAGTATTTTCATTTTAAAATGGATGTCTTGCATCTGAATTAATAGTTAAAGATTTAAAGTAACCTAAGTAGGTCTAGTATTTTGTTTGAGACCCATGGTTCCTTTATTGACTCAAAACAGAGAGGTGGAATGTCCAGAGAAGAAATTTATAGGAAGGAAAACAAGTTTTGAATGTTTTCATATGTGTATTTACACCTACATTATTTGTGGAGTTTGATCCTACCTGCCATTTTTTTAATTCTGAAAGCAATTGGAGAGGAGGAAAATCATTATGGTTATCTGAGAATAATAGATCTATGGTCAAATAATTTCAAGTTAATAACCTGAATTGTATGCAGAGGGAGAGAGAAACAAAAGAAGCAAAATAATTTCAATGTTGCCTTTTCAAGGTCATTGAACAAATGTGCCTAATCTTTTTGTTTATGGTTTAGATCCCTTGATTCCATACAAGAGCCTAGGATTTCATTTTCATAATGTAATTTCCCCCGCGAAAATTTGTATCTTTTACACTTCTTTTTATGTAGTGACCCTGATTATCTAGTAATCTTAATACATGCTTATCTGCTTAACTTTCTAGGTCTGATGGAACAGAAGTGATGGTTGATAACAAATATCTCAAGACATGCAATCCGCTTTTGGTAATCCGCTATCTCTTTGAAGTATTGAATTTGATTTATAACCTAGTCAATTTCAAATGGCTTCAAAGGCTTATTAAAATTTTATATGGCCTCTTTTTACCTTAAGCTAATGTTTTTGTTTTTGTTTTTGTTTTTAAATGGTTCAGCTGATCAATTTCTATGAGCAGAATCTCCGCTACAGTCCTACTCCTACATCATGACTGAACAGAGCATAGAAGGAGCTTCTTCCTGTGTAGTTAGATTTTCTTGTGTTGGTAGTTATGTTGTACAATGAGGTGCTTTTGTAGATGCAGAAGATAGTGAGGGGAAGAAATGCAGTGTTTGTTAGAGAGATATAGATATGACTATTTAACCAGTAGTTGCTATAGCTACATATTGTGATGCATGTTGTTGAGCACTATGTTTAATGGGATGTCAAAGAACTAGATATTTTCAATGCCTCAACACATGAGGATAGGGATTGTTTCTTAAGAGTTGGTCAAGACCAAAACTCTATTTTGGACTAGTGTCATTCTTATTTATTTGTGAGCAAATTGCGTTTGCCTACCTAATTTTCAATATTCATTAGTTGGTTGACTTGATTATAACCATATAAAGGAAAATTCACAATTAAATTAACTGTTAAAGATGCATGGTAAATCTTGGTACGAAATGCCATGTTTGGTCATATAGATAGATGGTTTGCTTATTGCAAAATTAACATACCTTGGTCAGAAAGGAGGTATTTATGGATTTAGAAAATTATCCTCCTCTCTCCTCTCTAGTCAGGCATTTAAGTTTCGTAAATTTTGTGTGTGATTTTTCTAGCATGTTGAGTTTGAAGGATTTTGAAAGTGAAAATACCGCGACTTAGGCTTTGTTTGAGAGTTGTTTTTTGGAGGGGAAAGAAGGGAAGGAGAGGGTTTAAGTAAGTCCTTCTCTTATTTGTGAGTTTAAAAAAATGAGAGAAGGGAATTGTGAATTTTTACAAAATCCTCCAAAGCCCTTCCCACCCTTAAAATTAAAGTTTTCTCAATTTGAGGGGTTTAAGGGGAGAAATATTAAAAATTACTTATCTAACCTTAGCATTAAAATGTGAAAACTACATAAATATGAATCATTTTTAAATGTGGCATTATTAGAAAAGTCTCAAATATCGACAGAATTTATCGATGAAAAACATTTCGTCGAATATAGTGACGAAATTTTTTACAAAAATCACAATACGTCGAAAATAGAGATGAAAAAAGAATTGGCCATAACAACTAACATAAAATTTTTTGAAAAAAAATTCAGTCAAAATTCTTGATAGAATCTAAATTTCGTTGAAACTTTCAACATAAAAATTTCCATCAAACTTTTCAAGGAAAAATATTTCCATCAAAAAATTTTGACAGAAAATAATTACGTAAAGAAATTTGTCGGAAAATATTTCTGTCAAATTTTTTTATGGAAAACATTTCCATCAAAATTTTCAACAGAACACATTTTCAGCGAAAATTTTCGACGACAAATATTTTCGTAAAAATTTGTGACAAAAATATTTTGGTCACAAATTCTGACATCAAATTTTGTGTGTCAAAATTCTATACGGAATCTAAATTCCGTTAAAATATTTGACAAAAAAACATATTCGTCCAAATTTTCGACGAAGAATATTTCCTTCAAAATTTTTAACGAAACACATTTCCATTGAAAATTTTCGTAAAACTTTTTGACGAAAAATATTTCTGTAAAAAGTTTTGACGAAAAAAAATTCGTCAAAATTCTTTACAGAATCTAAATTCCGTCAAAAGTCGACAAAAATATTTTCATCGTACATTTTGACCGAAAAAATTTCTGCTGAAATTTTTGACGAAACACATTTTCATCGACAATTTTCGACAATAAATATTTTCGGCAAAATTTCCAACAAAAAATATTTCTCATAATTTTCAACGGAACACATTTATGTCAAAAAATTTCGATGGAAAATATTTCCGTAAAAAAATTTGACAACAAATATTTTTGTAAAAAGTTTCGACAAAAAAATATGCTGTGAAAATTCTTTACGGAATCTAAATTTCGTCGAAAGTTTCACAGAAACATTTCTCAAAATTCTTGAGAAAAAAATTTTCGGCGAAATTTTCGTTGTGACACATTTTCATCAAAAAATTTTGACGAAAAACATTCCGTCAAATTTTTTCATGGAATTCTTTTTTTCGTAAAAACTTTTGATGGAACTTTTGTCGTCAAAAATATTAAACAAATCATTTTCATTAAAACTTTTGACGGAAACTAAATTTCGTCGTATATTTTGACAAAAATTTAGTTTTGTAAAAAATTTCATTTGATAAAACTTCTGTCGCATTTCGATGAAAAGTGTTCCGACGAAAAAATATTTTTTTGACAGAGTTTTTATCGTTTGCAACGAAGAATTTTCATCGAAAATATGATCTTTTTTAGTGTGTGAAAAATACATAAATAATTTTGTTTGAAAATTTTAAACTTAATTTTATTTGTAAAATGTAATAATTATATTAATTTTTAAAAAAGAGTAAAATTGTAAAAATATCTCATTGACCCTCCAATTCCCCCTTACCATTTTTTTAACTCCCAAACAAGGGAAAGGGAATACCCTTCAATTACCTTTCCTTCCCTTCCCCTTGGATCCCCTTCCTTTCCTTCCCCTCCAAACTCCCAAACAAAGCCTTAAGAGAGCTAATATGTTATATTATGTCTTAGGAGACAATTGTCTATTTACCTTGACATATCTAAAAGGGGGCAAATTGTCTTTAGGAGAGATAGTATTCATTTGGTTCGGATTACATATGTCGATGAGATATGATTTCTAAATGCCTTAGTTCCCGTTGTTATTGTGTTATTATTTTTCTAAAAATCTTAAAGGGGTGTTTGGTAGAAGATTTTTTTATAGGATTCTTTGAAAACTGAGGGTGGTAATTTTATTTACCCACATTTGATATGAGAATTTTAAAATTTCTTTGGAAATCTGATTATTTCGGTATTTTATTTTGTGTGTAAAATTTGCTAAAAATATCATCCAAGAATACCACTCAGGGGATGGTATTTTAGGATTTCCATGACAAGGAAAAATTTAACACAATATAGCATCAAGAAAATTAACCCAATATTTTCGGAAATATTTTGGTCTACCAAATAACTTTTTGGTAACATTCTTGGAAAATTTATTTTCTCACCATATTCCTGTAAATCATGATTCTCGGATAAAAAAAAATTCTCCTCTACCAAATGCCCCCTATGATTATTGTAAATAATTCATCACTGTTTAAATATTATCTATTATAAATTATTGCTTCTACATTTAGTGTTTAATTTGTGAAAATTAAAACAATATCAATTTTATAGCAAATATTGATACCCAATTGCTTTCTTACTGGAAAATAGAAAATGCGTGAATGGATCTTTTATTTTTTTTTAGAGTAAATACCCTTTTTCGTCCCTCACAAATTCCACGAAGCCCTTTTTGGTCCCCAGCAATTAAAAAGGGACATCGTGGTCCTTGAAATTGTAAAAAACAAGCCACGTTAGTCCTTCTGTTAGTGGGGCTCTAATGTCGTTACTAGCGATGCTGACGTGTACTGTTAAGTTGCTGAGTCATCATGGAAAAAGCCACCTGGACAAAAAAAACGACGTAGTTTGATAGCTTTTCACTTTTTTTTTCCTTCTTCTTCTCCTCTCTCCAATTCCGTTCAGGGACCACCCATGTTCTGATAGCCATTGTCATGGCTTGAACACCACCTTCACCTATATGATTTGGATTTTCCTTTTTACCCCATTGTTATTATTATTCCCTCCATTGTTACCATTCTTGTTTCCTCCACCTCTACCATTTTTAGCATGTGGTGTGCCCCAGCTCCATTTTTGCCACCATTATTTTTGTTACCTCCACCCTGATTCTAAATGTTTCCTCCTCCTTCTCCACCTCCACCTCTACTTCCTTTTTTTTTCCTCCATTGCCATTCACTTGCACAGGCACAGGTACTCCACCGCCTTTGAAACTCTGAAACAACAAGTACCCAGAAAGGAGGTACTCCACTGTCTTTTTTTAATGATACTACACAAATGTAATGGCGTTTTCAATAATCTTATAACAAGTTGTTCTTTCTCTTTTTCTCTCCTTGCTTGACACGGACATCGTGGTCCTTGAAATTGTAAAAAACAAGCCACGTTAATCCTTCTGTTAGTGGGGCTCTAATGTCGTTACTAACGATGCTGACGTGTACCATTAAGTTGCTGAGTCATCATGGAAAAAGCCACCTGGACAAAAAAACGACGTCGTTTGATAGCTTTTCACTTTTTTTTTCCTTCTTCTTCTCCTCTCTCCAATACCGTTCAGGGACCACCCATGTTCTGATAGCCATTGTCATGGCTTGAACACCACCTTCACCTATATGATTTGGATTTTCCTTTTTACCCCATTGTTATTATTATTCCCTCCATGGTTACTATTCTTGTTTCCTCCACCTCCACCTTTTTTAGCCTGTGGTGTGCCCCAGCTCCATTTTTGCCACCATTATTTTTGTTACCTCCACCCTGATTCTGAATGTTTCCTCCTCCTTCTCCACCTCCACCTCTACTTCCTTTTTTTTTCCTCCATTGCCATTCACTTGCACAGGCACAGGTACTCCACCGCCTTTGAAACTCTGAAACAACAAATACCCAGAAAGGAGGTACTCCACTGTCTTTTTTTAATGATACTACACAAATGTAATGGCGTATTCAATAATCTTATAACAAGTTGTTCTTTCTCTTTTTCTCTCCTTGCTTGACAGGACCTTTCAAAACTAAACAGAGATCTAGCAAAAGTTCTTAATTTTAGTGGCCATGCTTTGGAAAGTTGCCTTCAATATGAGAACTGTGTTCCTGTTAAGCCATGGCAGCAACATGATAAAGATGACACCTCTCTTTTTGATTTTATACCATTTCTTGAGTGTAAGCATTCCTTTAGATGTGTTGAACAAATGAATTAACGTTTTAAATTATTGTTTTGATTTTCATACGATTCCTTGAGTGTAAGTGCATTCCCCTAAGATGCGTTTATAAAGGAATTCTTGTTTGAAATTATTGTCGTGACTTTTTTATGCTTGTAAAAGATGTATTACCTTCTCTGTTATCTATGTGCAGTTGTTGTTCGTAGCAGTCCAGCTGATATAAGACCAGTGCTAGCGTCTTACCAAGGATGTGATATTCCGACTGAATTCATCAATCGTTCCAAAGATTATCAGAGGTAAAATTCTAATCATTAGCAAAGCTTGAAGGTTAGAGGACTTTCATCATTTCCTTCACAAAATTTTGAAAATAGGAAATAGAATGAAAACAAGGTAAATTTTTTGTAATTTTGATGAAAACATATCAACTGAATATGAGGGCGTTTGGTTTGTTTTCTGTTTTTTATTTTTAGTTGAAAACACAATCTTGCTTTGATTTAGTGAAGAAAATAGTGAAATCAAGATTTTGTTGTTTTCGCCATTCCTTTTCAAAAATTTCAAAACAAGAAACAAAATGAAAACAAGGTAGCATTCACTGTAATTATCAATGAAAACGTATCAACTGAAAATGCTGTAACTATCTGTGAAAACATATAAACTGAAAATGAAAACAGAAACAAACCAAACACACTTTTTGTCTAGATATTATAACTATGGTTTTATGCACCTTAGGGTCAACCATTTAATTTGTGGATTTATGTGTATTGAACTTCAAAAGATTCCCATTAAGCATGGGATGTAGAGTTGATTATATTTGTCGGGGTAGTTTAGGTATTCCCTCATAAAACAATGATTAAATTACTGTCAATTAATCTAACATATTACATATAGATTGTTTTCATGTTGGTGGTTGAAGGCTTCTTTTGTTTATATAATTAGTTGATGCTACAATGTTGATTCATCCTGTCTTATTCAACCAACATTTTTACTCCGGGTGTTTCCAAATGATGTAGAAGAAAGCAAGAACAGAAGCATAGGGGTCGCTTCTGGAGAAATTGATCCAAGAATAAAGCTGAATTGAATAAAAAATGTTCTTCTTCGAGACTAGGAAATGGGATTGTCAACTTCATTGCAAGTTGATTGGTGAATTCGTCAAAGATTTTGAAGTTAGTGCAAGTTGATGAGTGATTACATCAAAACATAGAAAATGTGGATTTTGTTTTACGCGAGTGTTGAACCCCAACTTTTGAACCATCAATTTTTTTTTGCCTATATTTATTTTGTTGGAAAGAGCACCTATTAGTTGTAGAGGATGAATTTCTTTTTCGTATGATAGAAGAATGAGTTCTTTATGCTAGATGTTTCTTGCTAGGTGAATATCTGCCCAGAAGTGGCTATGGATGAATTTATTTTTACAACCTCAAGCTCTGAACCGGCAAAAACTATATCGTGCCTGTACCTCCTTTCTGGGTACTTGTTGTTTCAGAGTTTCAAAGGCGGTGGAGTACTTGTGCCTGTGCAAGTGAATGGCAATGGAGGAAAAAAAAGGTGGTGGAGGTGGAGGTGGAGAAGGAGGAGGAAACATTCAGAATTAGGGTGGAGGTAACAAAAATAATGGTGGCAAAAATGGAGGTGGGGCACACCACAGGCTAAAAATGGTGGAGGTGGAGGAAACAAGAATGGTAACAATGGAGGGAATAATAATAACAATGGGGTAAAAAGGGAAATCCAAATCATATAGGTGAAGGTGGTGTTCAAGCCATGAACAATGGCTATCAGAACATGGGTGGTCCCTGAACGGTATTGGAGAGAGGAGAAGAAGAAGGAAAAAAAATGAAAAGCTATCAAACGACGTCGTTTTTTTTGTCCAGGTGGCTTTTTCCATGATGACTCAGTAACTTAACGGTACACGTCAGCACCGTTAGTAACGACGTTAGAGCCCCACTAACAGAAGGACTAACGTGACTTGTTTTTTACAATTTCAGGGACCACGATGTCCCTGTTTAATTGCTGGGGACCAAAAAGGACTTCGTGGAATTTGTCAGGAACTAAAAAGAGTATTTACTCTTTATTTTATTTGAATTTCACAGTAGTTGTGCTTTGAATTGATCTCGTTTCCCAATTTGCATTGCCAAGCCCGGACCAATCCCATTATTGTCTCTGCAACTGCAAGGGAGAATCTGCATATGGCCGTTGTGAGCAAGGTTGAGATGAAAAAATTGGAGGTAGGGATTTTGAATTTGAATTTTTTCTTATTTGGGTCTTGGGTAAGTTTTCTAGGTCATGGTCAAATTTATGGACGTCATTTTTTTTTTAACAATTGTTGGAATGCTGGGATATCCCACCGATTTAATGTTTTTTCTCGTCAATCTTGTTCGATCTCAAAGGAGCACGATCCCATTTGCGATTTGGCACGTTAATGGAGAAAAAGTCGTTGGATTGTATGATCCTACAATTTTTTGCGCAGTTTTAACAACATTGGGTAGGAGAATAAGTTGCTAGCTTGGACTAGTAAGAGACACTAGAAGTAAACAACGAGGTATACTTTGTTAGTTAGGAACTCAAGGGCCCAAAGCCCAGATATCAAAAGCTTGGAAAGGTTGAACTTACACTGCTCATAACATCTAGATGGATGTGCCCATACTTCCAAGGACACTCAATCGTTGTTCTAAATAATCAACTTATTGGACAAGTGCTACATAAATCTGACCTCACAGGACAAGCGATAGCACGGGCTGCTGAGCTATCCGAGTAAAACATCTCCTAAGAGGCCCACCACACTATTACGTCCCAAGCTTTTCTGGATTTTTTTGCCGAGCTAACAGTTGCCCTAACCGTCCAGTAAGAACCTAACACCCGCTGGACAATATATATAGATAGATCCTCCAATAGCAAAGGGAGTCGAGCCAGAGTAATCCTGAAAACACTAGGGGGCATTTGGTTGAGGAGAAATATTATGAATGATAGGGAAATGTTATGTATAGGGAAATGAGTGGGAAGTGAGATTGGCAGGAAAATGTAAAAAAAAATTGTTTGGTTGAAAAAAACTTTACTGGAGAAATAAGGTAACATTTATAAAGTCTATGTTTGGTTGTTAGTAAAATATAGATGGGAAAATGCGTGTGAGTTTACAAAATTAGCCCTGACTTTAATAAGTTTTTGAATGAAAAGCAAGACAAAAAGTGAACAAAAAGTGTCTGTGTGCTATTCTTGGTCTTTGGCAAGTACAGGTTCTAAAGAAGTGGACAAAAAGTGAAGCTACGTCATTGTCATTTTCGCGCCATTCAGAAGGGTACGCTGGTCTTTAGCTTAGCACAGTAAGTGAGCAAATGTGGAGGTGTTCCAAAATACCACCCCTCAAAAGGGAAACTTTGACCGGCAAGTTGAGGGAAGATACATAGATAAATCAGAAACACAGCAAACACACTTACCTACATAAGTCAGCAAACCCATCCAACCAAACGAAGGTTTCTTACTTTCCCACTCCTCATTTATCTATGTATCTGTTGAGAATCCTAGAAACAAACAGTCCCTAGAGGGATTTGTCATTCAACACTCTCTCTACCTCGAATTTCCAATCTCGAACAATCGGGAAGAGTATGAGTTGTTTATAGTTGGACTGTTACAAGCAAAGGAGAACTAGACTAAAAGGGCTTGGGTATGCAATGACTCACAGCTTATCACTTTGCAAGTGGAGGGGAGATACCATGCAAATAGACCTCTGATGGCAAAATACTTAGCCAAGGTTACAAAACTTTTGGCTAACTTGGACAAGGTGATTATCCAGTACATTTTGCGAAGTGTGAATTCTAAGGCAAATGTGTAGTTAAAATTTGCTAGTACAAAGAACATCGACAATCACAGGCCCATAATCCAGCAAAGCTGAGCTGCATCTTCGTCAACACCTAAGCCGAGGACTAGAAGAAACCAATTATTGCCTACTCAGTTAAGGGAGAGCTGCAAATGAGACCTTGTAGGCCAATAAGCTGACTAAATATTCGTCTTGGTATTCAGTGATAGAAGGTCAATTGTATTTTAATACAAATTAGTTGATATACATAAAGGAATAAATGACCATCGTCTAGGAAAAAAATCGCTAGCAAGGAAGGCACTCAAAGCTGGCTACTACTAGTCGAGATCATGGAGGCAGATGCCAAAGCCCATGACTATAGGTGTAACATATGCTAGGTGCAACGTAAGATCGACTACGCCTCACCAAAAGAGCTTTGCAACACCATAACCCCTTGGCTATTCCATAAACGGGGCTTGGACATACTCAACCCTTTCCATATAGTAGAAGGCTAGTTGAGATAGTTTATAGTTGTAGTAGATTATTTCACCTAGTGAATTATAGCGGAACCAATTGCGATGATACTTAGACTCGAGTCCAAAAGTTTTTCAACAAAAACATTGTTTTTTGATTTGGGGTCCTTGTTGTGTCATAATAGATAAAGGAGACTTATAACCGACCTCAACATCAAGCATTAGCTTCCATGGAGCACCCTAAGAACATTAGCCAAGTACAAGCCGCCAACAAAAACATTATAAACGAGCTTAGAAAATGCCTAGGAGATGCTAAGACTGGATTCACCAACTGAACTTTACCCTTTAGGGCTATAATACCCAATCGGCCATTGGAGAGACACCATTCAAGATGACCTAAGGCAATGAGGCCATGATCCCTGAAGAGATTGACAAGTCATCTTGGAGAAGGATGCACACCTTTGAGGAAACAAACAATAAGTCAATAAACGTTGAGCTAGACCTCATTGATAAGCAACATGATGGAATAAGACTCAAGGATTTGGCTTCAAAGAGAGTCACTATAGCACGATATAACAAAAAGTCAGACCCCGATTATTTAAAGTTAGAGGCCTTATCCTTCGTAGGGTAGACATAGGAAATAAGAAGACCAAGGACGGGAGTTTGGCCTTTAATTGGGAGGGCCCATACCAAATAAAGGCTAAGGCCGGCCCTGGAGCCTACATCCTTGGATTGGGTCCAATATAAATCAAAAAAAGGGACTCCTTCGCGGCTCATAAAAAAGAGGAAGTGAACATTCTCCCTTCGGGCAAGGCTACCACCTTTAAGTACTTTTTTTTAAAAAATCTCTCAATGGAATTAGAGTTAAAGGTGGACAATTTTTGGAAGAAACCTCTTTGAAGGTCACCTGGCTTTGACTTACACCGGGGGGCATGACAATGTTAAAGAGGTTCTAAAACACCTATCTTGAGTAAGTCAAATTAATATGATCACATACTAGTGCAAAGACACATAGAAACCCTCATGAATTTGGATATATTTGTGCAGGAGCAAAAGAAAGGAATTATAGAATGAACATCTGAAACTTGGCAAAGGGAAGTCGAATTCCAAGTTTTGAGAATAGAGTCTTGTACATAAAGAAGAAATAGGGAAGCATGGAATCCTTAGGGTGAGCTATGTAGATGCACTTGTCTACAGATTGGAGTGTCATGACCCAACAACTCTCCTTAACATGCACATCCGAGACTAGGGTGGCAATTTGGGTCGACATGACATGAATACATTTAATTGAAACAAGACACAAATTTAAAATCGGGTTAAAATCTCCGACTTAAACACCCGTTTTTTTGCAGATTGACACGACATGACACAAATGACCTGCAAACCCATAGTGTATCATTTATTATGTGAATTGACATGACACGACATGACACAAATAACCTATAAATCCTAAATTATGATACTTATTATGTAGGTCAATATGGCACGATAAGACACGAATAACTTGTTTATGATGCGATGTTGCGAACATGGTTAGTATACTTGTTGTATAAGTAATAAATGATGAGTAGAGTATCGTTCCCACGAGGACTGAATTCAAGCAATAATTCACCGTTTTTATCTAAGTTAAACAATTCAAAAGTGATTTTAACCGGTAACCAATATTTAATTAAAAATTTAATTAAAGATGCAGACTAAAGAAATTGATTTAAAATGATGAACTTGAAATTATGAATAAAAATGCAGTTAGGTTTATTTTACCTCTGATACCCCATTAAGTGATTTAATTCAATTCA